GTAGAATTAAGACATTTTGGAAATTGTGGAATTTCCCATGAAATGGAAAATCTGGCGCCTGCCCAGTCTCTAATAAATACATTAAAGATTGCGAGTGGCCTGTGGACAATGGTAAGGGGAGGAGGGTCACAGAATTATCTTGCAAGGAGAGACTTGATTGCTTCATTTCTGCTGCGCTGCTTTTAGTTTCAAAGTTGTCTCCCATAGATGCAGCCACCGGGCAAACTGCCAGTGAGCGTGCAGCACGGCTTTTCTACGTCTCTCTATCCCCCCATGCTCTTCCTTGCCCCTTTGGCAGGACCTCTCTGTTCTTTCTTTACTACCTACTGCCACGGTGCTGAGATCCAAAGGGGAGATCCTACGATTCTGCGCCTTCCAGCGCTCTGGACCTTTCCCACCTTTTTCTCTGTGCTCTGCAGTTATTGCTGGGCTAGCACTAGGAACTGTCATTCACTATGTGTCTGTATAAAACCCGTGACAGTGGGATCCCTCTAGATATTACTGCTGTATATTGATATAAAATAAATAACAATAAAGTGTAGAGTAGAGGGAGAAATTAGTTGAATACATTTCATGGTTGTAAAGCAGCAGGTGGAAGCACAGTGTGGATTTTGGATTCCCATGCAAAGTGTTTGGGCCTCTCTTCAGTCACTAGATTTTAGGTCTTCCAAGCCTGCTCTCCCCAAGATGACTTTGTTTCCAGGATGCCACACGAATAACTCAATAATTCTACTTGGAGTTATACAGGAATGGTAAGCTGTGTACCGGGATAGCGGCAGCACCGTACCTAGACTCCTGGCAGCCCAGGGAGAACTTTTAGTATCAGGTCCTCCTTCGCCAGAGATAATGATGATAATAATTGGACAAAGGGAAAAAAAAACATTTTCTGGCCCCTTTTTCTGTCTGGGCCCCAGGTGGCTGCCCAGTTTGCCAATGCCTGTGTCCAGCCCTGGGTAGCAGCATCACTCTGCACTAGTGCCCCTGGTGTCACTAGACTGGTGAAGACTCTGTCTTCCTCACAAGATTAAAAACCAATGGATACCTTAGCTGTTCAGCCATTGGACATCTCATGGCAGGTTTTGCAGGAGTATTAACCCTGTTGTCCTGGCCAGGTTCCAGTTTGGGTCATTCTTTCGACCAAATCAGCCATGGTAAATTGGAGTAGCTCCAATGATTTACGCTAGCGGAGCATGGTGCCCTCCATGTTAAACTTCCACCTTTCCACTCCAGTTCTGCGTAGCATTTTCCTTCACTTCATATCCTAAAATGCTGTGTAATGTTGCTGTGTGCTGCTAAAGGGATGCTGTGTCCCATCCTAGAAGTGTGGCTATATAAGTGCTTTAGGGACCCTTCACAACGAAAAGCAAGACAAGATATTACAACTGCTAACAAGCCTAACACAGGCTTAGAGATCCCACATGGCTTCTCAACTATAGTGAGCAGGTGGGATTCTGCTCCTAGGTATACCAGGGTAATCCTGTCAACTCCATTCAGGTTAAATTAACGTTACAGACATATTATAGTTAGTTAAGTGTCCATGTGCCCACTCTGCAGCGAGTGAAAGTTAAATCATAGAAAATGAGAGTTGAAAGGACCTCAGGAGGTCACACCTAGTCCAACCCCTTTCTCCAAGCAGGACCAGTCCCAACTGCATCATCCCAGCTAAGGCTTTGTCTAAAGGTCTTAAGCTCCAAGGATGGAGATCCCACCATCTTTCTGAGTAACCTGTTTCAGTGTTCTACTACCCTCCTCGTGAGAAAGTTGAAGTGACTCAGTTCTCTTTCACTGAGAGGTAAACCCAGCTGGTTTAGCTCTCACTTACCACAGGGTCAAAGCAGGCTCATAGGCAGTTGCCACAGACCTGCTGTGGCAAAGTAAATCCCTGTTTCCTTTTAACTTACTGTCAATGATTTTTTTTTTGGTCCATATCCTCAGTTCAGCATTTCCTCTGAAAGCAGAGATGACAGACAGATTGGTAGGCGTCTACTATTTGTTTAAAAAAAACCCCAAAGTCATGCAGATGATTTACAGGGGCATGTCTGAAGGGAAGGGAGGGTGATGGAACAGGTGTGTCTCCAGAAAAGTCTAAAATCCTTTTGTCTTCACTGATGTGCTTTCCCAACCTGTCAGACCGGGGCAGTTTGACCTCCTCAAGCCTCTCCTTCATGCCCCGGCAGTGCAGGCTCAGTCCCAGTAACTTCCAGGATCAGGTGCTAAATGGGCTGTGACCAGCAGCTTGCTCCACCATGGTGCGCATGTGCGTGCGCGTGCATGTGCACAAGAGAGAGAAAGAATAGGAAACTGGCTTCCCAGAGCTAAATTTAGCAGGAAATGAAGGGAAACTGCAAATAAGAGGGAAAACCTTTGCCACTTCTTATGGCTCTGAACCTGCCTGACTCTTGACTTGCAAATACTTTCCTCTTCAGCAGCTTTGCTGTGCTCACATGGTCAAAATTATTTCAGGTAAGAAAAATAATGACCTTTTTATGGAAACAAACATTCCCCTCCCCACCATTAGTTTCCCACCCAAAACACAACAACCCAGCCCACTTCAATTTTTTTGAGCCTGTTTAATTAAAAAAAAAATAATTTTTTCGTAAATAATTTTTTCTATTTTTCTGTGAATTTCAAAAAGGAAAAATAGAAAAAGTACTTCCGAATTTTCCCCAGCTGGCACCTGCTGTTTCTTGACCTGCTTGTACTCCTCAGTCGGTGGTTTTGGTACTTTGGTTGGGATGATGGAAACTTTGTTCATTTGTTACGTCCATTCTCATCCCTCTTCTTAGAGGAAATCTTTTTGTCCTGTATTTGTACAGCTCCAAGCACAATGGAGCTCCTACTTGCTCCCATAACACACACAGTTATAATAGCGGTCTGGTTGTCTACCAAGTTTTCTCAGCTTGTCTTCCATCTGTTAGGCTGCCTGTTCTTGCCACGGCTGCTGACTACCTTGCTCTTACGCTAAGTCTAGCATCGTCCAGCAGCTACTTCCCAACACCCCAATTATATTAACCCTGCACTGCTCGTCATTAGCCATAGTGCTGCCCAGTGGATGAGGGCAGTCTCATGGAAAAGGCACTCAAGCAGGCTGCAGAAAGGTGGGCTCGGTCCCTGGCTCAATCACAGATGCCACAGATGGCCTAATTCAAGTCTGTGCCTCAGTTTCCTGCTGTTACATTGGGTTAAAGATGCTTCCTCTCTCCCCGTCTTTTATCTACCTTGCTATTTAGATGGCAAGCTTTTCAAGGAAATGGGGTCTCTCCCTAGGGCTTTGTTTGTACAGCGCCTAGCACAGCGCAGTCCTGATCTCAGCTGGGACCTGTTTGCATTCCTGTAAGATAAAGAGAATTAATGATTGCCTGAAAACCCTCCGAAACTGCTCCTGCTGTTTTGTTTCATCCGGAGCAGCATCCAGGGGTCCCTTCGCGACACCCAGACGAGACATGCCGGTGGCAACATGCCAGAAGGCTGGTGTCCCTCCAGCTCTTAAACACCCAGTTCATGCAGTCAGAGCTAGCAAAGGGTCAAAAGGATCCTCGTTCTCCCTTCCACCCTCCCTTGATATAAATACCAGCCTACCAGTCGACACAGAGTACATACATCTTAAACAAACACTTGGCTGGGCTGTTTATCTCCACAGCCTTTAAACAAACTCTTTCAAAGGTTTCTGCTGATATGAGAGATTTACTGAAAACCATTCGCCCTTCTTAAAAGCCTCTCAGTTTATGCTGTGATGGGTGAAACGAATAGTGTTTTAGCCTGGAGTTTTCTGTCTTCTGACCGCATGTTTATTCTAGGGGCCGCCACCGGCTTTGATAGCAGAGCAACATGGGCACAATTCTTTACGAGGAAAAATATAAAATAAACCCAGAACCTGGGTGTGGAGGTGGGGGATGAATAAAAACTTTGGGTCTGTTACTTTTACTCACGACATGCCTGCTTTTCTGGCTCCCAACTCTTGTTACCTTTCCACTTCCGCTAGTCCAAGAAAACTGCATCTCAGCAGCTGGCTTCGATGTTTCCTAGTTTATTTTTAGCATCTACTGGCAAACATGCAACCTATGCCCTGGCATATGTGCTGGGTTAACTAAAACTGGCTTTTAGAGCCAGTTTTGATTAAATCGGGTGCAAATCCCTGTTGGGTTACTGAAATCACAGCGGCACCATCAGTAAGAAGGACGATACCACCTAGTTTCCAAGTGCAGGTTTCATCTGCAGACTTCAAAGCACTTTGTATCTTCTCTTGTCGTCATCACTTGCATTTTGCAGACGGGGAAACTGAGGCCCGAGGGGGTGACGTGAACTGATTGAAGTCACCCAGTGAACCAGTAGCCCAGCCAGGCAATGAACCCAATTTTTCTACATCCTAATCCACTGCTCAGTCCATTAGATCACCCGGCCTTTAACAAGCCTGCTTTAATAGCAGTCTAGCCTAAATCAGTAGGAAGGAGACAACTCAAATGGGAACAGCCAGGTTTAGAGTGATTTATGAGTGTCCTTACAAGGGACTGCACTAATTTACAGTGTTTTAAACCCCCACCTTTACTTAGAGTAGTGTCACTTTATGTTTAGACAATGCTTCTTGCTTTGCAACGATTAAACCAAACGAAAAGCCCCAGTTTGTTGTAAACCAGTGCAGAGCCAGCCCTCGTGCGGCCCAGCCCTGGCTGAGTTCGGATTTGTTTTAAGGGGAGGATTTTCTGGGTCGGGGCGTCTTCTGGGCCTGATGAGACACCTCTGCGGAGGGCATGTGTGGGAGGCGGGTGGAGAAAGGCAAGAGAGAAAACTTCTGGCTTCCAGCTCCCTTCCCCCCTTCCTTTCAAACAGACGGAAGCTGCTTTCACTCTCACTGTTTACATACAAACATCCAGCCTTTCCTGTCCACAGACATGTTCCTGGCTCTTACCTATGGGCCCCGGGGTGAAATACTTTTGCAGTTAGCTCTGAATAGGCTTTTCAATACCTGCAACCTCCCTGTTGGCTCCTCCCCATCTGGAGCCAGGTGAATGATCCCAAGCTTGAAGAATGGGGCATGCGAGCCAGAGGGAGATCACAGCGTCCCGGCAGCAGGAAGGATGTGGGGCAACTGGCTAAGGAAAATGTGACACATAATGAAGGTGCATTCAGAGGCAATGTACTGCAGCAGGTAAAAAAGCTGAGATGTGTCTGATTTAACCCAGGCGAGGCGGGGATTAGATAGAGGAAGCCAGCTTGAGAAGGAGCCAGATTCTGTTCTCGCATACAGCATAAATCCAAAGTGACTAACTCCCCTGATGGGGTATTTTCCATTAATTCCCATGATGACAATGAAGAGTAACATCACTGACGTGAACTGGATGATTCCAAGTTCATACGGGTGTAATTAAGAGCAGATTCAGACACAGGCATAATCATCACTGATTGATGGGCTTGATCCATGATTGATCACATCGTTATAGATCCATGATTGATCACATCATTATTGATATTGTGAAAACCTCAGAGCCCCACTCATGAACCAGGATCTCACTGTGCTCAGTGCTGTACAAACATACAGTGAGAAGAGGATCCCTGCCCCAAAGAGCATCTTTGCCCCAGAGCACCTACTCTGGACTCCTTTAAGACATTTGGATATTTATCTTGCTGGGATCCTTTGACCCTAGCTGACTTTCTTTGACCCCTGCTGGACTCGACGATCTCCTGAGGTCCCTTCCAGCCCTAATGTCTATGAAATCCATCTAAGAACAAGGCGAGATAATGCACATCTAGACTCTCTTGCTATAATCAGTCCCTCTTTATGTCCCTGTTCATTGAGAAGCTGACCTGATGTGCATACGCTTATACTGCAGCGTACCGCAAAGGAATTGGGAATTTGTTCCTTTGTGTTTAGGGGACCGCAGCTTTGCCGTATCACGTGTTGTTTCTGATATACAGTTCTCTCCAGCGTATGACAAAGCCAGGTGGAGACTGGCATGTTGTCAGTGTGACCCCTGCATTGGTGAGCAAAGCCGGTTTCCCCAGCCATCAGCCAGGAAGTTATCATCAATAACCCAATGCCTTCCAACACGGAGAACGAACTGAGGTGCCTAAGGATGGGTGAGAGCTCGGAGCTAGAGGGGAAAAAAAAGGCTCACCATCCTGCATCAGGGCTTCCCGTCGTGTGGCCGGAGGACACTGGACCCGATTCTAGTCTTGCTTCTGGTGACTTGTGATGTAAACTCAGCACAGGTGGAATCAGAATCAGGCCTGGTCTCTTTAAGGTTTTTACTTTATCACTACAGTAATAATGAATAATGATAACACTTTGCTTTTGTATAGCTCTTCTATACCTGGGATCTCCAGATTTCTTAAGGACCGTAGATGAATAAGGCCTTGCGTTTTTAGTCCCCTTGCTTTACAGATGGGAAAATGGGGTACCATGAGGGCTGATACATACAATCTGCATTAGAGCTGGTCGGAAAATGAAGGTTTGTTTTTTTTCCCAGTGGAAATTGGTAAATTTGGGGCAACATATTTTGGCAAAACATGCAATATTTTGCTCCTGCAGTTGCAGCAAAGTGCCTCCAAGGGGGCTGTGGTTGGGTCCTTCCTGCTCCCCCCACCCACTGGCTAAGCTACTCAGGTAGGCTACAGCTCCTCTTGCAGGCAACAGGTCCTAAAGAAAGGAGGCAGCACAGCATCATGGGAGACAAATTCCCAAGTCATGAGAACAGCTTAAAAATCACGAGATTTTATAAAAAACGGTAGAGCTGCAATTTGCTGTTTGCCTCTGGGAGCTTTAGGGATCCTGTTCTTAAACTTGGTTTCTACAACTCCACAGGGCACCAGTGTATTTTTTTTGAGATAAAAGCAAGGACAAGACTCCAGGGAGTTGGAGGTTTAAGAAAATCCCTGGCTACCATGAGGCTTGTGACAGAATCGCCGCCGCTGACTACACTGATAAGCCTGAAGTTATGACCTGAAGATGCCTTAAAGGTTCAAAAACCAGAAGGTGAATAAAAAGAATCCCAACTGCGTTAATAAATGATCAACATTAGCATCCCACCATCTTTCCTAAGCCAATGTCACGGTTTTGGGAGTAGGGGGGCTGATAGGTTGTGTTTGAACGCTAGGGTTGGCTCCGTTTCCACCTTTCTCTCGATGATTCAAAAGCAGCGCAGAACAAGACTCACAAGGTTTTTTCTCACTGATCTTGAACTTAAGGGACTCTAGGTTTCAAGGCCACTGGGTAAAGAGGGAAAATCACTCCCACTGCCCATGGATATAATTACTCACAAAGAAAATAGAGGAATGGTGACTCAGGTCTCTTGATAGATTAAAAGGTAATTCCTAGGCCCTGCGTTTAGAAGAAACCTGGCAAGAGAGTAAAGGTCAGGAGAGAAATGCTGGTATTTATTTATACAGAGGTGGTTTGTGAACAACATGTATTTTGGAGACTTTCGAAACAACATAACTCACCCAGAAAGAGCTGTTAAACCTGTTTGGTAGATACATATGCATACATATCTATAAGCAAACACAGGTAATTGCAGGCAGCACACAAACAAGGAAGCACACACAAGGCAAACTTTTAAACTAATCGGACTAACAAATAAGTCCAAACTTTCTGGAGCGTCACAAACTCCCGCCTTCTATGCGAGCCCACCTGTGTACCCACCCGCACTTTATTAGGGCCGCGCAGATCTTTTTTGTTACAAACCCAGAACGTGCTGCTCAGTTCCTGAATGTGCCGATGAATCTGAGCTGAGGGGAGGGTGAATTTGGGGGCACAACTTGGGTGAATCTGGACTGGGTGATGTGAGGCTGATTTCTAGGATAGCTGAGAGTTGATTTACTGCACTCGATGGAAACCAAGCAATGTTTGGAGGTCTGAGATCGTTTGGAGGCCTGGCAAGGTGGAAGGGAAGACCCTCTCTAAGTGCAATTGTCCATTTAAACCCAGAACTCAAGAGGATGCAGGTGAGTTTCCAGCATGAACCACCAGTGAAAACTAATGGGCTGAGACAAGCACATCCAAACAAAGGGAAATCTCTGAGTTTTGCCAGCCCCTAGATCCTGCGCTCGTTATGTTTTCTTTGCTGGCCTTAGGGATTTTGACTCTGCTGAAGTAATGGGGCCTCCGTGCTCAGCATATCTGACTATCAAGACTAGGATGTGCTCAGAAATCAGTGACCGCTTTTGAAAATCTGTCGCTTTACTGGAAACGCGGAGAAATCGTAGCACAACTATTCCGGGATCTGAGGCTAACGCGCTGCCAAGTAAGGGTCCAGATGGCAGACGGGGCCCCCAGCCCGGAGCAACCGCATCTCTTGAAATGGAAACTTTTCCTTATTTTATCGCTTTTTTACTGCTTTGAAACAACACGCAGATTAATACCGCGGAAGCACAGCTGGGCAAGGAGGAGGAGAGACGTCAGCGCCAGGCAAGGAGCTGCTGGCTAGATTGTGCTGATGTTTTTGGTAGCACAAGGGAAAGTAATTCAGTCCTGAAAAGGGCTTTCTCCTAGGCCTCTGACTACACCATTGATCCTACCATGGGAAGCGTCGAGCTGATCTGCCACAGATTCAGTGAACACGGCTCACCAGATCTTTCCAAGTGCAGCCACGTTCATACTGACCTTGCTGTTCCACCTCTGGTGATGCTAGTGCTTGCTGGGCAAAGCTGGCCAGCAGCTCATCGTGCATGAAATGCCACCTGCTGTGGGCACGTCCTGAGTTTGGGGAGGGTGAGACGATCCCGACAGATAAAAGACGGGATATATTTTTGAACACTATGAAAATAAACATGTGGGTATTCATTGATGACTAACCTAGTAACACGACTGCACTTAGATGGCTGTTCGGTGCATGCCTCTTCAACTGGGTTAGAAGATGGTTTCCTTCCTTTCTCCCCCTGTGGAAAATCTGGAATTTTTTACAAGGTACTGAAAACCAAACAGGGTCAGTTGAAACCTGAGGCTTTCTGTAAGAAACCTGGAGGAAAGAAAAAAAAAATACTGGTTGAAAGCTGAAAATTTCAGTCTGGAAACACCGGTGTTTTGACTTTCAGGAGATATCATAGAAATATCATAGAAATCATGGGGGAGAAGGGCTGGAAGGGACCTTCAGAAGTCATCTAGTCCAACCCCCTGCCTGAGAAAGGATCATCCCAATCCAAAGCATCCTATACAATCCATAATCTAAATTTTTTGTAAGACTACCATCAAACACAAAACCATCACAACACAAAACATAACACCCGAACCCACCGTGCGGAGGAATCATGATAGCCAATGCCCTGCTTTTATGAAAGGTTGTTATTCACAGATTCATAGGTTCATAGATGTAGGGTCGGACGGGACCTTGCAGATCTTCTAGTCTGACCCCCTGCCCTGGGCAGGAGAGAAAACTAGGCTCAAATGACTAAACAATTGTGACTTGGCTCTTAGTATAGGCTCATGAGATCTCAGGTAGAGCTGTAGGTCCCCGAGCTGGGCTCCATGGCTAGACAACTGTGTTCATGAGGCACCATGGGCTGCCCTTTCTCGTGGAGCTGCCCATGGTGTTTTGTGGGAGTCTGTGGTCGTGATGCCTGGCTGCAGTCGTATCAAATTGTGGTCCGTGCCAGCTTGGCTCCCCGGAGGACTTAGTTAGTTAAACCATGGACTGAGCAATACCCCTGGGTCATCTCTGATGTGGTTCTCCAGTGACTCAGCCGGAGGCTCCCTGCCCATCCTCTCGAGGGAAACCTGGACAGCAGTAGGCACGAAGGAGCCCCTTCGTAGGTGGAACATGGGTAGCCCGGGCAGGGCCCTAAGTGCAAACTAAAAAAGACGACTTTTGTTCACATGTGTTGGCTCAGCTCAAATAACTCATGAGGGACCAGAGCTGCAGGCTGGAAGGGGAAGAAACTCTCTCCAGATGAAAGGATGTCAGAAAATTGTATTTAGTCAACTGCGTGTGTGTGTTAGAAAGGGGAGGAGGGAGGAAGGGGCCGCCGAGGCTGTAACTGTGACTGACTTTCTGACTTCTTAACTTGTCAGCATATCCTAAAGTTAAAAATGCACATGCACACAGGCCTGCAGCCAAAGAGGCCGTCTAGCCGCAGATCCAGATGTGGGGGCCACTGCGCAGCCAGCCAGCCCCGCTCTCCCTGAAACGACTTTCAGACTAAACAATTGTGACTTGGCTGTGAGAGGCAGCGCAATTCCAGATGCTGCTTTCCTTTCACGTTGTTTTAATTGGGCTGGCAGGCGCAAGGGCTCTTTCAGTGAGAGGAAAGCTTCCCCACGGGACCGCAATGTTTTGGCAGAGCTCCCATGCTGCTACCTTAAGAGAGAGAGCAAGGGAGAGCAAGGGGGGGGGGGGGGGGGGGGGGAAAAAAAGAGGTGAGGAAATGGATCAATATGAACCATTCTGGGGGGGGGACGGAGAAAGAAAGAAAAAAATTGGGAGCAAGTTGCCAAGGTGTTTACTGCTGCAAACAGCTGCTGCTTTTTGTTTTTATCTTCCGAAATTCACACCTCTTTATAGTGCCCCCGAACCTGAGCAAACGGCATCGAGGCTTTGCCTGGAACGGGGGATTTGCCCCATTCCTGCCATCAGGGCAACCATACTGGTGCCAGCTTCTGATGCCGACTGGAAAACAGCTCTTGGCTCTGGCAACTTTGCTGTCTCCACTAAAAGACTCACCCTAGACCCGCTGAACGTGGGATATCCCCAGTGCAGACCATGCCCAAATGGTATGCAGGAGGGAAAGGGGGATCTGGCCTGCGAGGCTGGATCCTCCGGGGACTTTCAACCAACAGGCTTCAGCAGGCTGCAAACATCCTGCCATTCTCCTGTGGGGAGGAGGGTCCTGAGTGAGCAGCTCTGGTATGAAAAAGGGCTGGGAACCAGTGCCGTAGCCCGCTGTGGTGGTACAACGCTGCAAGCAATGATTAAGACTCTAGGCAGTACCAAAGTATCATTTCACTCCACGTCAGAACGTGTTGTCTTGAACTCCATGTCACAACACTGTTAGATGGATATTTGAGTCGTTATGATTAACTGTTCATATTCTGGTGGCATCTAGACGTATCGGCCCCAATTAAAGTCCTGTTACCCCGTACACGTACTTATGGGAGACAGTCGCAGCCCCAAAGACCTTCCCAAGAGAGACCGCTAGAGAGAGAGAGAATTGTTATTTAGTACAAAGGAAGTGATGGGAAAGTCATAAGTATTGCTGAAGTTGCTTCAAATCTGTTTCTAAGTAAACTGATTGCTAATACTATTCAGCTGGCTGGTATAATGGGTTAAACCATAGTCTTATAATATACTTGGCCTTGTCTCCACCATCTATCCAAACAGTGTTAAAAGCAACGTTGTGTTTAAACATGGTTCCCCGTCATAAGTAAAATCCCAGTGTTGACAGGAACAAAGGCCCTTTCTCCCACTGAGGGACCGGACTCCATACTGTACAGCCCTCACATGATGAAAACACAATGTGCTCTTGGTAAATGGGACCAAATGGCGTATTGACAGACTTAAAAACGTGTGTGATGTCCCTGCGCGGGCACTGCCAGAGCATGATTCAGAAACACAATTGTAGCTTGAGCCAGTCTCGTCCCCATAAGCACGTGCCTTAGTCGGCCACGGCACTGCTATATCGTAGATGCATCTGCAGGCAGGTAAGGCAGAGTGGACTATAGCGAGCCCGGTGGGGCCGGAGGTCACCGTGCTGCAATCGGAGGGCACGGGAGGTTCGTTATAAAACATTATACAATATGCCTGAAAGGCTTGAATATTTTATATGATACAACAATTTCAGAAATAGGAACCTGGCCTCTCCTGCTGCAATGGCAAGAAGTAGAGCAGGATCGGACGTGAAAAATTTAGCCGCAAAACACAGCAGAGATACAGGGAAATCACTGAGATAAAAGGGAAACGAAAAATGCCAAGAACTTTGTGGAAAGTGTTAATGTGTGGAGGCACCTTGCTGGTCCCTGCCCGCTTTATCTCTGCTGAGGATGCACACGTGGCATCTGTCCCACCTTCTCCCCTGCTTC